CTGACGCGTGTGAGGGGGGCACGGGGGAGAGCCCCGGCCGCTGGAAGCTGGGCAAAGGGGCCGTGTCTGCCTCCTCCCCTCTCCAACCCCGCTGCCCTCCAAGTCGCAGGTAAAGTGCAGTTTGCCCCAGCAAAGCGCGTGCTGTGAAAGCTCACATCGCACTAGTGCCATACCGGTGTAAACTGGGGGGGCCCCAGTGGCAAAGCCTCTTTGCACATGAGCCCCAGTAGCACCAGTTGCGCTGCAGAGGAGGGACGCAGCGCTGGGGGAGCTGAGCACCGGTGTCCCCCCACGCTGGGGCATGTGCCATGCTTGTGACCCCGCTCAGGCCTTTTTTCACCAGGAGCATCAAAAGGGAGACAAGAGGGATGAAGTACTGCATCTCCGCAGCGAGCACGCTTCTCTGCTCCATCTCGAGGAGAAACTGCCGCTGTCGTCCACGGAAAGCGTGGCCAGGTCCTGCCAGGTCTGCACCGCACTTTGTGCTTCCTTTTGCAGGGTGAAAAGCCAGGGCAAACACAGAGGAGCTGCTCTGCGCCCAAGGGTGCTCCTGGGCCGGGTCCCTCTGCGGAGAGGACGACCCTGACGTGGGTCTTTAAGTGCCCAGCACGATGCCAGGGGCAGAACAGCAGCAAACAGACAAAACGCCCAGACTGGCCATGCTGGTGGGGTGGCTGGTGGCAGAAGGCGCAGACAGACAGACGGATGGCCAAGACCACGGGGCTGCTTGGTGCTGCAGTTTCCACAGGTCCGTTCTTTTGTGGATGGATTTTGTGGATTCTTATTCTCTCGTCTAAAGACAGACTTGGGCTCAGCGGCTCCTGCTGTGGGTCAGGGAGCGGAGGCGGCGGACAGACCGACGGATGTGGGGCTCAGGATCCCGTAGGCAGTGTCAGTGGGATGCGCAGCAGAAGGACGGACAGAAGTTGGGAGCATACACGGCCAGCAACGGGCTTCGGGCAGCAGATCCAGCAGGACAGACAGACGGCCGACGGACCAAACATCCAGCCCGGATGGAAAGACAGACGGACGTGGGCTCGGTGGTGGGGAAATACAGAACACAGTTCAGAGAGAGGGTAGAGCAGACAGCGAGGGACTCGCTCCATTTGAACAGACGGATGAACACAGGCACAGCATTTTGGATGCCCAACATGTGGTTCAGGTCGTAGATGGAGAGACGGACTTGAGCTCTTGGCTCAGACGCCCAGCACACGTTCAGGTAGGAGATGTGGCAGGCAGACAGACGGAGGCAGGCTGGGCGGCTCAGACATCCAGCACGTGGTTCAGGTAGGAGATGTAGCAGATGGCCAGGCGAAGGATCTCAATCTTGGAGAGCTTCTTGTCCGGTGGCAGGGTGGGCAGCAGCTTCCGCAGCTCGGCGAAGGCCATGTTGAAGGCTTCGACGCGGATACGCTCCCGCGTGGCGTGGGCTGTCCGGTATTTGGCCGTGGCACGCCGGCGGCGCCGACGCTCCTCCCGACTCAGGTGCTGCAGGTCTTTCTTC